CCATTCACCCATCCACCCACTCATCCATCCATCCATTCACCCATCCACCCATCCACGCATCCATCCATCCATCCATCCATCCATTCACCCATCCATCCACGCATCTATTCATCCATGCGTACATGCATTCATCTATGCATCCACTCCTTTGACAACCATTTGTGGAACATCTATTATGTGGCAGAACTGGACATGAGGACACCATGAGTGAGATGTCTGACCTAGTGACACTCATGATCTAATGGGAGGGGGAGAGAGACAAGGAAAGAACATCACAAGAGTTTGTCCAGGGCCAGATAAGGGGAAAGATTCTCTAAGGCTGTCCCATGTTCTCCAGCTGTGATTCTATTCTAGAGGCTGCAGTCCCACTTAATTCCTGCCTTCTGCTCTACTCCTTCCCCACACCCATCCCAGTGCTATGCTCACTTACCTCCCCACTTCAAGAACCTGGTGGCATTCAGTCAAATTCAAAATCCTGGCAATACTCAAAAAGTTCTAATCGAGTAACTATTATCATTGCTCAACAAGTGCTGAGCTCTTCCTCTGAAATGTGTCCCCTTTCTCTTCCCATGGCTCTGGCTCCACCCGGGTCTGAGCCACCGGTCTCCCGTTGGGATGGCTGTAATAGCCTCTTCACCTGTCTGCCTGCTCTGCTTTTGACCCCTGACAATCAATCCATTCTCCACATAGCAGCCAGAAGGAACTTTTAAAAAGGTATTTTGGATCTTGTCACTAACCTGCTTACATCCTCCAGTGGTGTCCCTTTGGGCTTGGAATAAAATCTAAACTCCTCCCAGGTCCACAGAGCCCATGCGAGCAGGCTCCTCTCGAGTCCATGCCTCTCTCTCCTCCCTCTACTCATTCCCCTCGTCACATGGAGTCCCCCAAACATGCCAGCTCCTGCCTCTGCCCCCAGAGCTTCCCGCGCTTGGGTCCCCTTATTATCTAGGTCTGGGCTGAGATAGCACCTCACAGAGACCTTCCTTGACTGCCCCATCTAAGTCAGGACCCCCAATCCAATCATCCTCTCTCACACGGGTTTCCTTCTCCAGACCACTTGTCTGAATTATCTTGTTAGGTACTGTTTTCCCTATATGTCTCTATATGACATGTCTCTATGTTCCCTATATGACAGGGCCTCAGGGAGGTAGGACTGGCTATGCGGGGGAATTTTGGGGGCTGGAGCAGTGGAAGAGCTGGCCTGGAGTTCCCTGCTCACCACTGGCTCAGATCCCCATGTCCCTCCAGGCCTAAGCCTTTTGCCTCTTTTGCCTTTTGCCTAAGCCTCTTGAAGCTCTCACAACATTTCAGAAAGGTTGGTATTCTTATTCCCATTTTTCAAGTAAAGAAACTGGGGCTCAGAGATGGAAAAGTTTAGGATGTATCCTTTCTATGCATGCAAAACTACACTCAAAGCTTGTGTAACACACGTGGGGAATGTTGTGTCGGCCAGATTTTAGACCCAGCTCTGTTGGCTCCAGGGCAAGCGGTCTTAGCCATACCATACCACTCTCCCTCTCTATTTGGAGCCCCTGAGCCCCAGTGTCCCGAACCAAGGCCACAGTACCAACGTGCAGCAGAGCCAGGATTCTAACCCAGGCTTGTCTCACCTCAAATGGAGCATCCCATCCTGGCAGCAAGCTCTCTCCCTTCCCCAGGCACCATCTGGGAAATGAGGGAAGGGAAACTTCCCGGGTTCCCAGCCCTGAGGCTGCAGAGAGACAAATACCCCACCCCAGCTAAGTCTGGCAGCAAGGCCCACCCTGCTTCCTGTTGGGGTGGCCTGGGGTTACTCACGGTCGCAGCTGAGGAGCTAGCCAGGCCTTGGGACATCCTTGGCTGGTTCCCTCCTCTGAAATTCCTTCCTGGGGTCAGGTAGCCACAGGCTCTTCCCCTGTGGAGCAGGCCCAGCCAGATTAGCGATAAACACACCCCATCATGTGGGTAGCACAGCTTAGCACTCTAGAGCCTGGGCTCCAGGGTCAAGACCCGAGTCAACTGATTTAAACTCTCCAGGCCTCAACTCCCCTGGCTGTAAATGGGGATATACAGTAGCGCTGGGAGCTGCTATTATCATCTTTCTCCTATCCGGCTAACTGTGTTTTCTAAATCATGCGACAAACTGGAGAGAAGTGCAGGTCATCACCCATTTTATGGCTGGGAAGCTGGAATAAATCAGAGACCTGAGTCCTCAGTTACACGGCCAGATTTAACTCATCCTCTAGTCCAGTTGAATCTGTCTCTTGAATGCCTCTCAGCCCCATCCTCTCCATTTTCCCCTGTGCTGAGGTTCTGCTGTCTCATCTCTTGCCTGGATCACCTCAACAGACCCCTCACTTCTGTCTCCCATCTTCTCCCCTCCACCACTACCAGAGCAGTGGTAAGCAGCCAGAGCAAGCTTCTTACAACAAAGAGCAAATCTGTCTGGGTCACTCTCCTGCTCAAAATGTGTGCATGGCTCTCCTCCTTACTCTGATCTACTACAAGACTCTGCAAGGTCCAGCGACTACAGGCCTTCTAGCCCCATTTCTGGTCCCCTTCTCTCAAATTGTTACAGTGCAGCCAGACAGAGGTACTCGCAGCTTTCTGTGAGTACTGCACTCTCTGGGCGCCAGGACTCTCCAAGGACCCCTTCCTTTGCCTGTACTCTGCCTAACCCAGGGCATGAATCCTGCAGGTGGCTTGGGTAACTTTGTTCAAGAAGGCTTCTCTCTGTGTCCCCTTCCCCCCGACTCCTACCTCCATCGAACTCCCTCAGTCCCCCGTACGTCCCCCATTACAGTTCTCATCCACCCGATTTGTCACTGCCTGTGTCCCTGTCTGCTTCTCCACCTGGTCTTGAGCGTGGAGACGTTGGAGAGGGCGGGCCCACCAGGCTGACTGCTAGGTCCGAGCCTGGCTCAGAGCAGATTGCCCCTTAACATTTGGGGACTGAACGAAAGAACAGTATGTCCAGGGCCTGGGAGGCTCCCGAAGCAGTCTCTGTGCCCAGGACAGTTAATCCAGTCAGGGAGACCAACCTCAACTAGGTAAGAAACTAACCGACAACAAAAGATAGCGCTTGGGACGGGAGAAGCTGGGTCTAACACAAGGTTGCGTAATGAAATGCTCCAAATCACCCCCTGGTCACTTCCCTCCTCAGTGCTGAGAACTAGAGATTCGGAGGCGAAATACCTCTTTGGTCTAGTCCCGGCTACCTCTGAGTGTGTTTTCTGAAAAACGGGACTCGCTACCTTCCGGGCCTGATTTAGGGGTCAACGAGCTCAATCTGGGGGGACAGTGGAGGGCCATTCCAGCCACAGTGTTCACATTGTTTCTTCTCTTCATTGTTTCTTCTTTTCTTCTGCTCGCGCCCTCCTCCTTGCCCTGCCAGCCCTGGATTCCCGCCCCGCGACCTCCCACTGTCTTCCCGGGGCCCCTCTCCTTTTCCCTCCGCTCCGCCCCGACTGAGGAGGCGGGCCCAACCGCGCGGTGCACCAATCCGAGCGCCCTGACCAGCCTCTGCCTCCCGCGAGTCCCGCCCCACACCGCTCTCCGCCAATCGCGCTCCGCGCCCGCCTCGCGGGGCCGCCCAATCGCAGGCGGGCTGGGCCGC